ATCAGTGACGTTTCTCTCTCATCGATGTTTCTCTCTCTCTCTCCTTCTCCCTTCCTCTCCCTCTAAAAATCAATAAAAACCTATAAAAAGTAGAGTCCATTTCTCCACCTTTGAAAATGAGCTGGCCCTATGACCTGCTTTGCCTAATAAAATGCAGTGTCAATTCGGAACCCAGGTCTCAATTGGCCTTTTGTACTGTCACTTACGTGTTTGCCTCGGTCTGTGAACAAGCCTGGGCTAGCCTGCTGGGTGGTGAGAGACACACGGTTAGTCACCTCATCTCTTCACTGAGCAGGCAGCCAATCCCCAGTAGCCAAACCACTTAGCTGGCCAGCAGCTGGCCAAAGATGCATGAGAGACTCTGGCAGAGACCAGAACTGCCCAGCTGAGTCTAGTTAAATTGCCAACCTGTGGGCTAATAAGCTGTGTGAAACGGTTGTTGCTTTAAACCACTGAATTTTGAATTCACTGCAAAAACTATGGTGAATTGTTACTCAGAAATAACTAATTAATACCAAATATAACGTGAACAGAAGTGACACATACATGCCTTGCTTTGATAGCTTTCCCCTTACCAGAGACTGATAATGGGGGTCACCTAACCTGGACCATGAAGATGTAGACAGATCTCCAGGGCAGCTGGTCTCAAGGTGTTGTCTGCAGACTCCTGCAAGTCTCCAAGACACTTGTGAGGGTCTGAGAGGTCACAACTATTTTCATAATAATAAGTTATTTGCCTTTTTCACTGTTCTGACCTTTGCACTGATGGTGCAAAGTCAATAGTGGGTAAAACTGCTGTTCCTTTAGCACACATTAAGGAAGTTCAAGTTCACTATATTGTACTAGTCACCATTCAATTTATTACCACACTTTAGTAGTAAAACGCCAGGTCATTTAAGACCGTCCTTGAGGAAGCAGTAAAAATTATTACTTTTATTAAATCTTGATCTTTGAGTACACATCTTTTTAATAATCTCTGTGACAGAATGATGCGTGCACATATGTCCTCTGCTGTATACCTCAGTGTGATGGTCTCAAAGCCCCTGCGCAATTGTTTTTGAATCAATGGCTGAATGCTGAACTGCGTGTTTTTTTTTTTTTTGGTGGAACACCATTTCTACGAAGAGGCAGAAAATCTATGGTTATTTAGGCTTGGAAATTTTGCAGACATTTATTTTGTATTCCTTTATGAGATGGTCGGCCAGGTGTGGCCACAGATGAGACAGAGGAGAAGCTCAGAAAAAACCAGATTTGTTGTACTCGTAGATCCTAGTGACAGGAGGCACATCACACAGGGCCACGTGGGAAAGCCACCAGGGTGGTCAGTAGACAGAAGACAGGAACCAGGGGCCTGTCTTTTGGCTATGGCCTTTATTAGGTTTCCATGAGAAAGGCAAGGCAGGGCAGGGTAAACAGTTTAGGATTGGCTAGTTTGAATAATTTCAGAGAGTTTGAAGCTATGAGGGTGGTCCTGAGTTGCCTGGCACCCAGCCCCGGGATTTTCAAGTTAGAGAAATATTGCCTCCTGTGTGTACAGGCCAGACAGAGGAGGTCTGGCTCTGGATTGGGAAATTTGCATATGAAAGGCATGTTCCTGGCTGGGCCCTTGCTATCTAAGAATTGGCTAGCCTCAGAAGGGGCAATCTCTCCCCAGACAGAAAGGATTTTGAAGATGTCAAAACATCCTAAGATACAGAAAATTAAAAATATTTATAACACCTCATTTTTTGAAAATGAACAAAATCAGGCAATAATAAAATCTGAGAGTTTAAATAAAAATGAGAATTGTGAAAAACTTGTATTTTACTACCATGCTCTTGATAGTTTCCCAATACTTAAAATTGGGTTTTTCTCCCCTGATAAGATTGATGGTGTATTAATATGTTTTTAAAATATTGCATAATGAAAGGTGTCAACATTTGGAAAACTTGCATTAACTCAGTGAGACAATATTTTTCAAATGACTAATGCATGCTGTTACAAAATTATTCATCATCAAAAGACTTATTCAAGATAGACCAATAGATTTTGATATAGTAGAATATAAAAAGTTTGTTAACATCAGGTTTCAGGTTGTACCCTGCAACTAATATATAGAAACTACCACTAGTTAAATTTTGGTATAATATTTAAAAAAATGGCAACAGTGATCTGAAAAGGCTATTAAAATAACCCTCTCTTTTCCAACTACTATTCTGTGAAAGACTGGATTTCATTAATCTTTTTCAATCAAAACAGAGTGCAATGAATTGAATGCAGAAGGAGATAGAATCCAGCTGACTTTCTTAACCCAAATATTGAAGAGATTTTAAAAAACAGAAAACAATTTCACTCTTCTGATTCATTTTTTTGGTCTTAGTAAATAGAGTTAGTTTTCCTAGAAATATATTATTTATATTTACATATAATGAGTTATTTTTAAGTTAATGAATAAATATAAAATTTAAATTTTAAATTTTAATATAATAATTATTGATAGGTATGCACATAAAATCCAAAGCTCTTTGGGGTCCTGAAGAATTTTTTAGACTGTAGTTTTAAGAGAAGCTTTAGGTTCACAGCAAAATTGAATGAAAAACACTGAGTTCCCACATATCCTGCCCCTATCCAGGCATAGCCTCCCCTACCATCAACATATTGAACCAGCCCTGGCTGATGTTGCTTAGTTGGATGAGTGTCACCCCATGCACCAAAAGGTCTCTGGTTCCCTTCCCTGTTGGGGCACATGCCTGAGTTGCAAGCTCAATCCTCAGTGGGGTGTGTGAGGCAGCCCATTGATGTTTCTCTCTCACATTGATGTTTCTCTCTCTCTCTCTCTCTCTCTCTCTCTCTCTCTCCCTCTCCCCCCCTCCTTCCTCCTCTCTCCAAAATAAATAAAAACATTAAAAAAAACCATATTGAACCAGAGGGGTATATTTGTTACAACCCATGAACCTACTCTGATACATCATCACCCATTATCACCCAAGGACCATTTCTTACAAGGGTTTACTCTTGGTAGTATACATTCTATGGGGTTTGGTAAGTATATAATGACATATATGCACATTGATAGTATTGTGTAGAATAGCTTCACTGCCTTAAAATTCCTTTGTGCTTTGCCTGTTCATTCCTCCCTCCCCCCAATCCCTGGAAGCCACTGAATTTTTTTCACTGTCTCCATTGTTTAGCCTTTTTCAGGACATCATATAGTTGAATCACATAGGATGTAGCCTTTTCAGATTGGCTCCTTTCACTTAGTAATATGCATTTAAGTTTCCTCCATGTCTTTTCATGGCTTGATAGCTCATTCCTTTTTAGTGAAGAATAATATTCCATTGTCTGGATGTACCACAGTTTATTATTAATTCACTGACTGAAGGACATCTTGGTTGCTTCTAGGTTTTGGCAACTATGAATAAAGTTTCTGTAAACATTCATGTGTGGGTTTTTGTGTGGACATAACTTTTCCACTCATTTGGGTAAATAACAAGGAGCCTGATTGATGAATCACATGGTAAAAATATGTTTAGTTTTTTAAGAAACTGCCAACTATCTTCCAAAATATCTGTACCATTTTGCATTCCCACCAAGAATGAAAGAGTTCTTGTTGCCCAACATCCTGGCCAGCATTTGTTGTTGTCAGTGGTTTTGATTTTTGTGGGTTCTCAATAATTTTTAAAAGTATAAATGTTTTTTGAGACCAGCAGTTTTAAGAACCAGTGCCCTAGCTGATGGCCAAGGCCAAGCATAAAAATGGAAGGAATTTGAATCCTAAATTAATTAATCAAGTCACACAGTCTTTCCAGTCCAGAAAAGTAAAGCTTTAGCCTAACTTAATTTATTATGTTTTTAGGTTTTCTTAAAGAGTGCACTTTTCTAACAATAAATAGTAAATAAAATAGCTCAAATGATTTGCAAATTTGTGGGGAAAGTAATGAGTTTAGTTTGGAAATGTTTACTTTGAAGTATTTGACTAGTAAACAGATGGATTGGACAATTCATATATAAAGTCTTAGAAAAGTTGTGAACAGATGGTAAGGATTATGTAAGCATTAGCTTTTATAATAATAATTATTTTAGATTTAAATATCAATGCAAACCTATTGACTTCCATATCCTTAGACCTGATAGTCATGCTCAATGATTTAAAGAGGAGCAAAGTAAGCAAACAAAAAACACCAGATTTCCTACCTGTGATAGAATGTATTTCCTAATTTCTCCCCTTTTCACCTGGATTTGAAACGTTAGATTATAGATCCTTTGAGACTATAATTCCTGACTCTATTTCTGAGTGCTACACATGTCAGCCCCTGTACAGTCACTACTCTAGCAATTAGTAGAGCTTTCTCCCCAGTACATTACAGTCTAGTTCAGTTTATATTAAGTATACTTGGGTGGCAGTGACATTATGTAAATGTTAACTTTATTAACTTAATATATTCTGACTATAGTGGTACTGCAAATTAGAGACAATTTAAATGTTTTAAAAATTTGTTATGCTATACTTTTGCTGAGTGCTAAAACATGCAAAATGCATTTAAAGTACATTGCAATGAAAGTGTAGTTAACTCCATTTTGTTTATGTTAATTGAGCTTTATTTTCCATTAAGCATTTTCATATTTTGATTGAATTCTTTAAAAACAAGTTTGGTAGAAACGAAAGGCAATTAATTTTGCTAGAATATAATTTTTATTTGCAAATTTTATGTACAGTAATTTAAAGTGCTCAATAATTCTTAAATAAGTATATTATAAAACTATCTAGAGAGCTGAAGCTTTAAATCTTGAAAAAAATAGCATTTGCTACAGATGGCCAAGAGACATATGAAAAAATGCTCAACATCACTAATCATCAGAGAGATGCAAATTAAAACTACTATGAGATACCACCTCACACCTGCCAGAATGGCTACCATTAATAAATGAAGAGTTTTCTTCAGACGCGCCTTGCCGGGAGTGTTTCTGGCTTGTGTCCTCTCGCGGCCCCGTTGTCTGCGGCTCCCGGGGCCAGGAGCAGGCTGAGATCTGTATCTGTGGACCTGAGTGTTGATCCCTCACTTCAAATTGGCATATGTGATGCACTCAGTGGAAGAGATAAGGTCAAGTTGACAGTACACATCAAGACCACGCTGCCCACGTCTCAGAGCCCAGCTTCCCGTTACAAGGCAACATGAAGACTTTGTACGGCTACAAGACACTTTCTGAAACTGCAGCCTATGATGAGCTTATTATTCCGCCTGCTCCTGCAAACCCGACTGTGATGGCCCTCGAGGGAAGATGCAGAAGCTGGGTGAGGGTGAAGGGTCTACGACCAAAGGAGAATTTGCCAAGATGAAGCAAGAGCTGGAAGCTGAATATCTCGCCGTCTTTAAGAAGACTGTCTCCTCCCATGAAGTCTTTCTTCAGCGACTCTCTTCTCACCCTGTTCTCAATAAAGATCGCAACTTTCACATTTTCCTGGAATATGATCAGGATCTACGTGTTAGGCGGAAAAATACTAAAGAGATGTTTGGTGGCTTTTTCAAAAGTGTGGTGAAAAGTGCTGATGAAGTCCTTTTTTCTGGAGTCAAGGAGGTAGATGACTTCTCTGAGCAAGAAAAGAATTTCCTCATTAACTATTATAATAGGGTCAAGGATTCATGTGCAAAAGCTGACAAAATGACCAGATCTCATAAAAATGTTGCAGATGACTATATCCACACTGCAGCCTGTCCACATAACCTGGCTTTAGAAGAGCCCACGGTCATCCACAAGTACCTATTGAAGGTTGCTGAGCTACTTGAAAAACTTAGGAAAGTAGAGGGTCGAGTCTCCTCAGACGAAGATTTAAGGCTGACAGAACTCCTTCAATACTACATGCTCAACATAGAGGCTGCTAAGGCTCTCTTATACAGACGTACCAAAGCCCTCATTGACTATGAGAACTCAAACAAAGCGTTAGATAAGGCCTGGTTAAAAAGCAAAGATGTGAAGCTGGCTGAGGCACACCAGCAGGAATGCTGCAAGAAATCTGAACAGCTTTCTGAATCTGCAAAAGAACTAAGCAATTTCAAACGAAAGAGAGTGGCAGCATTTAGAAAGAATTTAATTGAAATGTCTGAACTGGAAATAAAGCATGCTAGGAACAATGTCTCCCTCTTGCAGAGCTGCATGGAGTTGTTCAAGACCAACTGATCTGCCTTTTCTCTGAAAGAAGGGTATGAATGTGAAAGCCAGAGTCACTTGCACTTAAATCATTACAACAGAAGATTTATTACCTTTGACTTTAGTTTAAAATTATATTAATAAATATTTTGATTTCTAAAAATCTTAAAAAATAATAATAATAAAATAAATCAACAAACAACAATTCTGGCCAGGATGTGGAGAAAAGGGAACCTTTGTTCACTGCTGGTGGGAATGCAGACTGGTACAGCCACTGTGGAAAACAGTATGGAGGTTCCTCAAAAAGTTAAATATGGAGCTACCATTTGACCCAGTGATCCCACTTCTAGGAATATATCCTAAGAACCCCAAAACGCCAATCGGAAAGAACATATGCATCCCTATGTTCATAGAAGCATTATTTACAATAGCTAAGATCTGGAAACAGCTCAAGCGCTCATCAGTAGATGAGTGGATCAAAAAGCTGAAATGCCATAAAAAGGAAGAATCTCTTACCTTCCAAAACAACACGGATGGACCTGGAGATTATTATGCTAAGTGAAATAAGCCAGTTAGAGAAAGACAAATATCACATGATCTCACTTAGGTGTGGAATCTAATGAACAAAATAAACTGATGAACAAAATAGGTCCAGAGGCATAAGAGCATGGATCAGACTGACAGATCTCAAATGGAACGGGGGTGGAGGTGGGGGCAGGAAGAGACTAACCAATGAACTTCTATTCGTATATGCATAGTCCATGGATACAACACTAGTGTGGTGAAGGCCTGGAGTGGGGTGGGGTTGGATGGAGGGGGACAAAGGGGGAAAAATGGGGGACATCTATACTACTGTCAACAATAAAAAAATTTAAAACTAGCATTTGCTTTTGGCTTAATTGATCCTTACTATTTTATAAAATCACAATATACTTATTCATCATACATCTACCACCATGAACAACCCATGGGGAATAAAAAGTGTCCTTTTTTTCTTTCTTTTTTCTTTTGATAAGCAGTAGTTTGACTCAAGTTCCCAGAAACACAGTAGAAGATTAGGTTAATATGCTAAGTCGTTTATCTACACTATAACTGCTTGTAAAGCACCGATCAGGTGGTAGGTGCTTGCAAGATACTGGACGTATTAAAAACGACAACAAACGACCACTTTCATGAACCTCATGTTCTTGCAGGATAAACAGATAAAAACCATGTAAGTGAACAAATCAATAATATGATTTCTAGAGAGTGGCAGTGCTATGAACAAAATAAAATATTGCAATGGGATAAAGAGCAACTCTTCCATTATTAAAATAACTATATTTTGCTTATTTCATTTGGAAAAAACTTTTATCTCATATTGTTATCACTTGCTAACATGTATTGAGTTTGCAATTTATGCTAGGTAGTTTGTTAAGCAGTTATATACCTTATCTTATTTAATCCTCAGCACTCTCCAAACAGTGGATCCTACTATTTTTTTTAAATGTTTTTATTGATTTCAGAGAGAGGAAGGGTAAGTGTTTTTTGCTGAGTCATCTAGATAATTTCACTGAGTCGTGGTTATCAATTTTCACTGGGTCATGGGTAGCAATTTTGAAGAGTCATATTAGTGATATTTTTGAGTTATGGTAAGTTATTTAGCTGAGTCATACTGAGTGATTTTTGCTGAGTCATGGTAAGTGTATAAGCTTTGTGAGGTTGATGTCTTTGTTTTATTTGCTGCTGTATCCCCAGTACCTGGCATGATGTTCGGCATAGTGAAGGTGTTCAGTAAATATGTTTTTTTGAAAACGTATTAGTTTCCTGGTATTGCCTTTAAAAGTTACCACAAACTGTGTGGCTTTAAAAAACAGAAATTTATTCACAATTTTGGAGGTCAGAAGTCTGGGATTGTGTTGGCAGGATTGCGCTCCCTCCAGAAGGTCTGAGGGGTATCCTTTCTTGCCTCTTCCAGCTTCTGATGTCCTTAGGCATCCCTTGCCTATGGTTGCATAACTCCTGTCTCTGCCTCAGTCTTCACATGGACTTCTCCTTTCTCTGTATCTTTTCTCTGTGTCTCTTATAAGGACACTTGCCATTAGATTTAAGGCCCAACCCAGATAATCTCAGAAGATCTCATCTTGAGATCCTTAATTTAATTACATCTGCAAAAATCTTTCAAAAAAGGTCCCATTCAGAGATTGGGTGATGGGAGCTTGGGCATGGACATATATTTTGGGTGGTCACTCTTCAATCCACTACAGCAAGCACACTTGAAGGATTTATGAGTGAACAAATTAACTAGCCCCTTGGCTACCTGTGTTGTCTGCCATTTTTCTCTTTTGTCTGGCTGTCTGGGGTGATGTTTCCTGTCATTGTCGATGTCAAAAGTGATAGCTCTACCTCCAGTGACCACTGAGGCAGAGCAGTCATCAGGGATAGCCAGAGACACTAAGGTTACAAGTTTCTGAAGGTGGGGGTTCTAAATGGGTTTGCCCAGGCTCCTGTTCCCGGGCACTGCTAAAGCTGCAGTGTCTCATCTCTTAGCAGATCACACTTGATCTCTTCTCTGACCACTGAAGCAGAAGTCAGCTTTGGGCCTCATCATTGCAAGGAAAGAACTGAGGCCTGGAGGGCTGAGTTAGAGGTGAATCTGAGTGACAAAAAGTATTTTGTGTTTAGAACCACCCCACCACTTCTCTTTGAAACAAGATTGTATGACCCCAGTCTTTCCCTAAAAGGAAAAGTTTTCACCCAGGAGTGTCTTGGTACTTTGTGTAAATAAATCTTTGTTAGATCTTTTTCTATTCTCCAGACACGCTTGGAGTCTAGGCTGAATCCTTTATTACTGAATAAGTGATTCAGCATTCCATAGCGTTATTGTTTATTTTCACTAGGGTTAGAGGAATAAAGTCTCAGGAAGCAGAAGTAGATGAACTACAGCAGTTTGTGTATGAGCGGGACACCCTTGCCTTACTGTTCTTTCTTCTCCTGTGTCTGTGGGAATGGATCTAAGGGGTGGGCCCTTGCATGCAGTCACGATGATGCTGTCCTCATGAAAAGCAGAGCTCGTTGAGGACACACACACTCTAATGCTTCCTTCAGTCCTCAACTTGCTTGCTCTGCCTCCTGCTTTCCTGTTGATTACAAAGAACATTTCAGATCCCTCAACCAATTTGAAGCCTTTTTTTTTTTTTATGTCCATGACACATATAACTCCAACTTCTAAACCTGAGTCCTGTTGAGGAGGTTACAAAGTGTTTGTTTTCTTAGTACGAACTTTCCAGAGAAAACCCTGATCACTGGGGAGACAAAGAAGACAAAGAGAAGTTGAAGCTCAGGTATTTTCCCCAAGGCCACAGCTTTCTTTTTGCAGAGAAACCTATGACTCCTTATGGCCACTGGGGGTCCCCAGCAGGCTTTTTTAATGCACCAGAGGCTCCACACTCCTCACCCCTCCAGTTCTATGCTGTGGTGGCCTGGGACAAAAACAACATTAAGCTGTGACATCAGCCAGTCAGGGAGCCATGCTGTTGTGCCTGTAGGTATGGTTAAGCCTCTGAGGAGTGGGGCCTTCCCTGCCAGCCTAATTTTCAGCTTAAATCCTTGTCCTAATGTTATTTTAATGTGTTCTGGGGCCCTGGTGGGTAGAGAGGGTGGCAGGGGAACAGGATTTCCTTTCCTTTGGAGTTTGAAATGTACCAGAAACTTCTCAAGTACTTGAGTGAATAAAAAAAGGCCTCTAATCCTACAGTTCCAAGCAACCTTGCAAGCCTTTTTCTCATTTGGCAAAGTTAAATTTTTCCTTGGGGAAAAAACAACAAGGAAACAAACATTTATTAATTGTCTGGTATGTACTGAAGGGGTTCAGAACAGGCTTCCCCAAGATGTGCCATTTTAGCATGTGAATTCTTTTGAGCTGAAGGCAATAGAGACTCTGTGGGCTCAAGAGAAACTTTTACCTAACCTTGAAAGAATTTATATTAGGGGCTGGCCCTAAGAGGAATTATTACCAGAAATAACTTTTTATGAGCTATCTGCAGGGCAGATAGCTCTAATTACTGAACATTTGCTCTTCTTATAGGCCTGCAATGACCTTCCCCATCTCTAAGCTCCAAGGCACCTTACCTCATCCATACCTCAGAATGCCATATATACCTCATTTAACTTTCTGTTTCTGAACCTTTCTTGTATGTGGGGTTCCCATACATATGTATGTAATTAAATTTTGTTATTTTCTCTTGTTAATATGTCTCATAAATTTGATTATTAGACCAGCCAAGAGAACCTAAAAGGGTAGGTAGAGGAAATTTTCTTCTTCCCCCACAGTACCATGCAATTTACATTCATTATACTGGTTAATTTTCAAAATGACCTCATGAGTTTAGGGCTATTCCTCCAGATGTGCAGATGAGGAAGAAGAGATGAAGCTACTGTTACCTTGCTAATCAGCAGACTGGTTGGGCCGCAGTCCTGGTCAACCTGGATGCACGGTGTATGCTCTCTTATTGGTACTGTATCCTGCACCCTTCTGGTTTTCTTGTGAGGACTCTTAAAAGGAGTCTATAGTTTTACCTGAGGCTTTTAAAGTACACACCAAATCCATAGATGTAAAGGTGAAGTACCACTTTTCTGGATAATAAAATTAAAGTATACACTAAATTAAACACATTTATTTAGTATTAAGCACCTTTGACCCACTATGTCTGCCTGAGGTTCAGTTGATGGTCTCATGCACTTATTCAAGACAAGAAGAATAGAACTACTGTTGGGGGACACACATTATTTTGACCAGAATGACCTAGATTGGCTGTTTCTACAGTGAGTCAATTAAAGGAACAGAACAAAGATCTGATGAGTTGCTGCAGAAGAGAAGAAACTCATGATTTTTTACTACATCACAAATGACAAATGAAGAAGAATGTACCAGATTTAAAGCATGGCAAAAAGTGCCAGGCAATACTCAGGTAATTGAGCAACAGGGGAAAATATAAGGGTCTATTTTAATTAACGCTGTTGCAGGGCCCATCTCAGTGCCTGGCTCAGAGTAGGCTCTCCATATATGCTGACCCAAAGTTAAATGATGTTTTTAAAAATGTTGCTGT